GACCTACAGTGTCTTCTGGAACACAGCTACGTCTTATTGATCTCTCTTCCCCTAAGCCTTGCATATGGCGGGCTCAACATAGTGATGGACTGAGCTACAGAAACTATACATTCTCTTGGCATAGAGAAGATGGGTAAAGGAGATTCTGATTTTGACTTGGTCTAAAATAGTCTCTCGGGCAAGATTCATTTCATATTACCATTGGAGTGGAAAAAGGAGAATTTTAATTATTTGGAATGGTGAACATTTACCAGCGAGACTGGATCCCTCAGATCAAATTCAATCATAGAACAATAGGGTCATAATACAAGTGGCGGTTATTATCCTCTCCTAACACTCAACAGGCTTAATGTGGATTTGTTGAATTAAATTAACACTAACGACTTACATTCATATATTGATTTGCAGTTTTCAAAGTATTTTAATTCTCAGTTTAATGGAAAGAACACTGAACTACCAGCACACGGATCCCTCTCTTTTAATATACAGAGTAACAAACACTTGAAAATGATTCTGCTTTGGGAAACATTGTGCCTGGTTTGATTATGAAGAAATTTTCCTGAAGAGCCTTGGGTAGAATTTTCATTTCTTATTGCAAAAAGAAGTAACAAGAAGGCGTTTCCTTTTTCCCAGCAGAAAACATTTCTGCTTATGATCACCTTTAAGAGATGGCCCAGGCAATCCCTCTGGGGCAGAGGTTGSTGTATCCCTTTTTGCAAGAGGAAGCAGTTGGTGCTGTGTGGTGAAGATCCTCTGGGACCAGCCCTCAACCAATGGCTGATGGAGTTGGTGTGCAAAACCCTGAGCTCCTCCAGCAATCCCATGCCAGATGGAATCACTCTGGCACACATACTCTACACCGTCTCCCAGATTTCCCTGGTAGGTTTAAGTTTTCGCTGCCCATAGTGATAACTTGTCTGATGAGGCGTTGTTTATGGAGTATCTTCCTTTCTCTGTCTCATTCCCCACTTCTCTACCTCTGTTCCCTAGGATCTCTTCCAAATTAACTACTTCTATTCAAACCCTCATCTCAGGGTCTGCTTCCGGGGAAACCCAAACAATGACTTCCCCAAAGTACCTTTCCCTAGAAGGGCACCAGGCTAGCTCATCACATCCAAGCCATTAAGCCACTTAACAAGGTGTGACGCCGCCTGTGAATCCTTCGCTCACACAATTTTCGAGCCCATCATCGTCTGCTGGTTTCATTGCTCTCCTGGGCAGGTTTGCTCCACTGCTGTTCTCGTTCTGTTAATGTTAGTGTAAAATTTTTAATTAAAAATAAAGAAGATAAATGTGGTTAGTTGCTTCAATCACAACTCTGTACGGTGCACGAGAGACACCGTGACTGGTGAAAGCCACTCAGTTTGGTCTCTCTGCTGAGGAGTTAAGAATGAAGTATTTGGATATTCAGCTTTATCACTGGTACCAAGGAGACAGAAATGTGTCACAGCCATGTGTGCTGCCTAGACATGCTTCCTGTTTGAGGAATGTTGAAAGTTCAGACCTGCTACGGATGGAAATTTTCAAGATGCATATTTTTTATGCAGAAATCACATTATCTATTCAATTAGGGGATATCATGTAGATTAAGGTTGGTATAGACATTGTCTCCTCAACAACATCTTCAACATCTCTTCAACAACCCAGCCAATGCCCATCAACCCTCCTCTTGAACATTTCCAGAGAATTCCTTCCATTTGCTTATTAACCTCAACCACTASACAGTTCTTGCTTTAACTGAATCAACATCTCCCTTTTGCAGTTGACCACCCATTGGCGGCCATTTTTCTTGGGAGAAATGATTGAACAAGTTGGATGCCTCATTCCACAGGAGAATCTAAAATATTTAAAATATATATAACATGTCTCTTAAGTTTTTTCCCCCCAGAATAAACTTTTCTAGTTTMTTTGGCTCTCCTTAACAGAATATGGAGTCCCTCTTCCATGCCTCTGTCATGCTCCCTCAGAGTGAGATGCCCATTGGAAACTCCCTAGCTGTCCAACAATTGGGGATCAAAATGCTTAAGTAACTATGGTGTGAGATAGTATTATATAGCCCTTAAAGTCATGTTTTCACAAATATTAATAGTATAAGAATGTTCAAGACATATCCAGTAGATGGGATAACACTATATATGCAATAAGAGTCCAATTTCATTAAAATATACATATAGGAATGATTGTTTTTTAACTAGAAAGATTGCTTTTAGAAAAGAAATGGAAAAAAAGAGGTAGCACTCAAGAATCCACAGAATTCTCCAAGTATGTTTCTGAGATTTTGTTTCCTTTCCCAATTTCTGATGCGGGTTTTGGTAGATGAATCATACTGTCTACTACCAGAGCACATATAGCTTATCCTGGGGGATTTTTTCCCCTTGTAAATTAGTATCCTTTTTTCATCTGGCAACTGGAGTTGGGAGCAGGCTGCCCAGAAATGTCTGGGCTGGGGTGCAGAAGAGATGGTGTGGAGGTCAGTCACGGTGGTCTTGGCTTCATGAGACTGGACTGAAAGTGCAGCTTTTCAGCCCCTTGGCCAGCCACACAGCCTTGGGTCCTCCAAGTGGCAAGACAGAGCAATGCTGGTTTGGGAAAGTGAGTGGAACCTTAGATAGCTGGTCTGGGAGATGCTGAAGCCTGGAGATGGAGGGAATCTTGGGAAATACCAATGTTTCTGAGAGCGAAGGGCAGCACTCCCAGACTGGACTGTCTGGCCCTGCAGGTCAGTATCCCTGCCCTCTCTCTGTAAGATGGCATATCAGAGCCTTGGAAAAAGTGAAACATAGGCATTTCTCAAACCCCCTTCAGACATCTCTAGAGCCCTGCAGTTGTGAGGAATGCAGAGAAAGGAGGGAGGAATTGAAAGGTCAGCCAAGATTAGGAGGAGGCAAAGAAGGATGGCACTGAGGCAATTTCTTTAAGAAAGTGAGCAAACAGACTATCAGCTGTACTCCATGCTCCTTGTGTTATAGCAGTGGGGCAGGGAGCCGTGTGGATGGGGGTGGGGTGGGGTGGGAAGGTGCTACCCACAGGACCACTGGGGCAGACTCTGCCACTCACAGCCGGTTTATTATCATCTTTTCTACAGGAGTAGATTATCATCACCAGGAATATAGTTTTGGTTTAACTTCTGCCATTCCTCTCCAGGACTATAATGGCTGAACTGTGCCATCTGATTTCACGTTTAACTTAATTTAAAAAAAGATGCTATTATTAAGAATTAAAAATAACAGTAAGTGTTGGTGAGGATGTGGGGGAAAAGGCACACTCATACATTGCTGGTAGGACTGCAAATTGGTGCAAGCACTATGGAAAGCAGTATGGAGATTCCTCAGAAAAGTTGGAATGCAAACACCATTTGACCCAGCTATCGCACTCCTCAGTCTATACCCAAAAATCAGCATACTATAGTGATGTGGCCACATCAATGTTTATAGCAGGTCATTTCATAATAGCTAAGCAATGGAACCAACCTAGGTGCCCTTCAAAAGATGAAAGGAGAAAATGTTGTATAGGGCTGGGGTTGTGCTTCAGTGGTATAGTGCTTGCCTGGCATGTATGAGGCACTGGGTTAGATTCAAAGCAACATGTATAAATACATTAATTAAATAAACATCCAAAGAAAATGTGGTATATATACACAATGAAATATTACTCAGCCATAAAGAAGAATGAAATTATGAAATTTGTCAGTAAATGGATGGAACTGGAGACTCTCATGCTAAATGAAGTAAGCCAATCTCAAAAAACCAAAGGTTGAATGTTCCTTCTGATATGCAGATGAGAAAACACAATGAGGTGTGTGTGTGGGGGGACATAGAAGTTCATTGGTTTAGACATAGGGAAATACAGGGAAGAGAGTGCGGATGGGATTAGGAAAGAGAGTAGAATGAATCGGACATTACTTTTCTATGTTCATTTATGAATACATGACCAGTGAAACTCCACATCATGTACAACCACAAGAATGGTATTCTAATTAGAATAAGTTATACTCCATGTATGTATAATATATCAAAATACACTCTATTGTCATGTATATCTAAAAAGAACAACAACAATAACAAACAACAACAACAAAAGATGTTGTGCTCAATTTGGATGCTTCCAGATTTATAAAGACATGCAGTCAATACAAACACACTTTTGCCCTGTTTCTGAAGCTCAGAGCACCAAACACATGAAAAGCCCCATTTTCTTTTTGCAATGTAGATGCACACACCTTCTACGGCAAAGGACCCAGAATGCTGACCTCCCAAACACTTTTCCTTTTTAACCATCCTTTCTCGTTCTTAAGCCCATTCATGTGGTTCTCTGTTAACAGTTCTCGGGATGCTCARTGCCGTGGAGAACATTATGGGTGTGAAGTGATCATAAGCAATACAAAGAATCAAAGAAAGATTAGCATTCTCGCTTCCATGAAGTGGTGGCTGTAATATGAGTTGCTGCAGTTTTTGGCATTTTGCCTTCATTTCTGTCCAGCAAGCACCCAGATGGCTCGTTTCCACCTTCAATCCAGTGTTGTCAGCCAGAGTTGATTCAAGCCTTGYCAACTCTCTCTCTTCTGCCACCCTCCCTGTACCTATTTTGTTGGCATTCTGTTCTGTCAAATTGCAGGTTTCTTTCTTTTTTCCTCACATAGCCACTGTGTTTGCCTGCTGCGGGTCCCCACATCTTGTCATTTGCCTTTGGCTTGAGCTGTGGCTCTAACAAGATGAGCTATTCTACTGTGTGTGTGTGTGTGTGTGTGTGTGTGTGTGTGTATGTGTGCATGTATGTGTGTGTACGTGTGCATGCATGTTAGAGTATGTGTATGTTTCTGTGTGCATGCATGCATGCATGCATGCATGTCTGAGTGCATGTGTGCATGTTCCTGTGCATGTGCACGCATGTGTTCACTCGTGCAAGCTCCTGTGCATGCGCATCCATGTGTTCCTAATAACCAGAGGTACCAGAACACTTAAAAGCACACATTTCCCCCACCAAAGTCAGGTTGTACTCACATAGTTGGAGGCCAGGTCTGGGTGGAGGTAGTCAATTCCTGCAAAAAGAACAACACAGGAACCAAAGGTTAATACCTGCTATGTATCCTCAGAAGAGCTGCTCAAGCCGGTGTCCTCCTTTGGGGCTGGCACGAGGAGACATGCCATAGCCGGTGGTGGAGTGAGCACSCGGCCCAAGCCCCCAGCCTTGCCTTTTCCATCTGGGTGAGGGCAGGCTGCACTGCTCAGTGGAGAGGCAGCTCTTCTCAGACACACTTCAGAGGAGTGAAGCCAATTAGAGCCCGGGGCCCAAGGATAACACTTCTGAATAAATGTCAGGACTAAGGGGCTTAGTGACTGTGAGATGRATGGCTCACCAAAGCAGTGATCTAAAAGAGATCTGTAGAAATCCTGACATTTCTAAAGCGCAAACTGGCATTTCTCCTGAAATGCAACTGGCCCTGGGGAGAAAAAGTAATGATTATTTAACAGGGCATGGACAGCAATGGATTAGGAGAGCATACTCGGGCATGGAAATAAGAAGAGGAGCGCAGCTCAGGGAGAAAAGCCATTAGGAAAGGGCAAATGATTTCCAGCGAGGTGTTCCCGGCTGGGACCTAATGCCTGTCTCTACAGAATGTGGCTCTTCAGGAAGCTGAAGGCTTCAATTCTCTCAGCAGGAGTCCTGCACTTTCTCTTGAATATGGGCCTGTCTTCTTGCCCACAAGTCATTCCAAGGCTAGAATTATGTCTATGAGCACCGCTGAGTTCCATCGGACTGCTAGACCTTAGACATCACCGTGGAACACCAAGGACAATTGAAATGCTCCTATTTGTGTCTGCAGAGTCATGCAATCTTTGCAGCAGTCACACTGCATCCAGCTCTCTGGGAAACAGGACAGGTTCCAGAGACTACCAAGAATAATGGTTGCTAGTGTAGGTACTTGGAGCCAAGGACTAGAGTTGGACTCCCAACCACTTGGATACGGGAAGCAAAAATTTAGGCAAGTTGCTTGATCTCTCTGTGTTCGTTTCCTTTCCTAACAATTGGAGGTGAGAACAGGTAGGGGTTAAAAAAACTAATGCATGGGGCGTGCTTAGCCCAACAGCTGGTGCATTTAATAACTATAGTGGGATGCAATATTTATAAGCTGCAAGTACCATTAAGTGCCTCCCATGGTTGGCATTTTCTTTGCATGCATACGAAGACCGTGCTGCCATTATAGCTTTGCCCTGTAAAACAATTTGAACTGGGATGTGAATTTCTAAACGGAATTTCGGTTTATTTTGTTCTGGTTTATACAAATAATTTCTGGACTGGGAGCCACTGAGTATTACCGGTCACTTCCCACCCATGCTCAGGGTACTCTCTCTTTCTACTCACCTCCCAAACTTTGCAGAAGCAAAGACTAATATTTTTAAAAGTTGTCAACCCTTGTTCTGAACCTGAGTTCAAAGATAGCCAATTAAGGCTGGGGATGAGCATAAGCTTTCAGGCCAATAGTTCAAGTTCCATTCAAGGATCAGACACTGTGATACTGATGTGGCTTTGGCTAAGTGACACCATATTTTTCTCTGGGTCTTGGTTTTCTCATCTTTGAAATGGGGCCATTATTTACCTTGCAAAGCTGTTCTTGGGATTAGAGACAACTCATTGGAATTTTTAGATTGTGTTAAACAGTATATTACATTTCTTATCATAATCATTAATACTGTCATTCACAACAGTAGAGTAATGTAGTTTTGGTTTTACAATGTTGTGTTGAAATTAGAGCATACAGATTTGTTGAAATTGGTTAATATTGTTGAGAAGAAATTTTTATAACATAGATAAGCTAAAAGAAGGCATCCTCCCCCTCCACACACAATTTTTTTTTTCTAACTGGAAGTTAGTTTTCAAAACATGGCTCCATGTCCAGATACTGGAATTTGTTTAAGAGAAAAATACTCTGAGCACTAGAAATCTCTTCTCTGTGAAGGGAAAACATTGAATCATGGAGACAATTTGAGACCAGAAAAAAATTAGGATTAAAACAAGATAAATTTAGCCTCATTAAAGTCATGAATACTTAATTAGGTTAAGGGGAAGGCTAAGGTTGAGTTAGAATGGATACTTTGGTCTGAGAAAGAAAATATTTTTGATAGAACTGCAGATGATAGATATGATTCAGAAAAAGTAATAGTGCGCTAAGGAATGAAAATAATAATTTGATAGTTAGACAGTATTTTAATATTTGATTATCTTTTGAGGTGGAATATACCAAACACAATTCTTGATGAGCTTATTTAGTTTTTAATTCTTATATTAGTAATGTATCCTTATTTTTTAATGCTTTTGTTTGTTTTTCCATGATGGATTCCAGGTATGATTTGGTCCTCCAAAAACAGACAATTTAAACATGAAGACCAAGAAGTGTGCCTATCAATGGCTGCACTTTGATCCTGTGGCTCACACTTTAAAGAAGGGAGACAGACTCGTGATCAGCCAGTCATAATGAATGTGGCTCACAAATGAACAATATTTGGTTATATTCTTGTTCATAAACCCTTAGTATCCTGCTAGCAATTTCAATCTTTTCAGAAAGTCTAATCCACAACAGTCCAAGTTCTCAGGAAGCTCTAACAGGTTTAGAGACCTAAGGGAACTTTCAAGGGGCTCCATGAGCATATACTCTTACTTAGCAGGCCAGTGGTTTAGTTGAGATGTGTAGCATCCTAGGACCCTGGTCCTGAGCTCAGTTCCTTCCACTCTCCCAGTAGAGCTACCATCTGTACTCYCTACACCCCACTTAATTAAATGTCCACAAGAAGCAGGCTCAAGGAACATACTGCATTTTCCAAAGATGCCTGCACAGTATCTCCTATCCCGTCTGTCTTCTACAATGTGACAGTGTCACACTTCTCATGGAGAAGTGGGCCCACTGMGTCCTCTTCCATCTGGGTGGGCCTGTAACTGTTTCAGTCAGTAGATGTAGTGAAACACCGAGGCTAGGTCAGAAAAGTCCAGTATTCTTCTGCCTGTTCCCTTTGGATACTTACTCTSGGGGAAACCAGAGGCCATGTAAGAAACCCACAGGTAATATAGTGAATTTACGTAATTTTATGTTATTTCAGGTTGAACTTTTTCATATAAGAAGCAGGGCTTAGTCYTCCTTGACACAGTTTCCAKTTCCCTACTGTTGCCAATTCCTCAGTGCAGCCAATCCAGATATACGCTTTATGCAGCTGCCTCCTGGTGCCCACCTTCCTATGGGACCACTAGACACAACCTACTCGACTTGCCTCACTGGTTGCCATACCCTATATGGGCTGAGTGGATATGCTGCAGTTACCGTGGGACTCTTAGGCACTCATGCTTTCCTGCTCTTAACCCACAAATTAGAGTGCCCTGTGAGGAACTCTCCCAGGAAGGTTCTACCCCACACAAAGACCGTGGTTCATGGACTTCTTGCTTGTTCTAACATCCCACTTGCTGGTAGACTGTTCATGTCCCCACCTTGCCCCTTGTCTCTTGCTGTGAGGCATATTGCTCTCTTTTTTCTAAACCTGTGCATAATGAACAGCATCGATTGTTTCATGTTTTCTTTTTGAATCACCTCCTCTCTATCTCATCTGACCAGCACACCTGACCCTAACTTCTTTCTTAGTTAGGGCTGTCCCTGAGAGTGACTGTCTCAATGGGAATAAACTGGACACCGTTCACACAAGGCAGAGCATCTGTTAGTATGAACAGGTTTCCTGAGAGAGGGACACTTGATCACAGGTTGGACACTTAGGCACTAGGCCCCTCACTAGGATAAAAGAAGTATCCTGCAAAAGGCACTGCTTTGGTTTGCATACTTGTGTCCCTCCAAAATTCACGTGGAAACTTAAACCGCAATGCAGTAGTATTAAGAGGTAGAATCTTTTGGTGATTAGGACGTGAGGGACTGTGTCATGGGTGTGATTAGTGCTCTTACAAAAGAGATGAGAGGAATTAGCTTAATTTCTTTTGCAGTTCCATCTCTTTCACCATGTGAGGGTGCAGCAAGGAAGTATCATCTAGAAGGAAAAGGGCCTTCGCCAGACACCAGATCTAATGGCACCTTGATCTTGAATTTCTTAGCTTCTAGAATTATAAGAAATAAATTTATGTTTTTTTTTCTATAAACTACTCAATCTAAGGTGTTTTGTTATAGCAGCAGGAATCAACTGAGGCAGAAATTGATATCAAGAAGTGAAGTGTTTCCAGGCATGGTGGCACACACCTGTAATCCCAGTGGCTCCAGAGGCTGAGGCAGGAGGATCACGAGTTCAAAGCCAGCCTCAGCAAAAGCAAGGCACTAAGCAGTTCAGTGAGACTCTCTCTGTCTCTAAATAAAGTAGAAAATAGGGCTGGGGATGTGGCTCAGTGGTTGAGTGCCCCTGAGTTCAATCCTTGTCCCTCTGCCCCCCAAAAGAAGTGGATTGTTACCATATCAAATATCTAGAAATGTGGAAGCAGCTTTGGAAGTGTGTGATAGATAAAGGCAGGAAGAGTTTGGAAGTGATGCTATCAAAAACTTGTGTTTCCATGAATAGTGTCAGTGATCCTGGTGAGGGCATGCAAAAGAAGAACTATGGAGAGAGCCCAAATCTTCTTAGTCTCTCTAAGTAGTTGTGAAGAGATCATTGGTAGAAAAATGGACAGTAAGGACAATTCTGATGAGATCTCTGATGAAAATGGGTGTAAGGTATTGGACACTGGAGGAAAGGCTGTCCTTGTTACAAAGTGGCAAAGAACTTGGCTGAACTATGTCCTTGACCTAGTGCTTCAAGGAAGTTGAAACTTAAGAGTAATGAACTAGGATATGCTGCAGAAGACATCACTAAGCAAAGTATTAAGGATGTGACATGACTTCTGATTGCTTATAGTAAAATGTGAGGTCGGGAAATGAATTCAGGATGGAATTTATAATTCAAAGGGAATCAGGGACTTCTCCATCTGGCCAGATGGTAAAGACTGAGAAAGTGGATTCAGGAGAAAACATGAAGAGTATGGCCAAGTCGACCTTAGATAGGGAGATCAGTGATATTCATC